TCTCAAGGCACCATGAAGTTGAAATGAGGCATTTCCATCAATGCTGCGCCTTGTACGGCCATTTTCTGCTAAAGCAGATTGGCCTGATTACTGATGAGGCAGCAGACACATCAGCGACGGCTGCTTGATGCTTATTGACAACTGTGTTGCTTTAGAACCACATTTACTCCTTTTACATATAGAGCAATTTGTATTGGCAAGGGATCCAATGTAAATCCAATGAAATGTTGTTATGATAAACCAGGAGCATGTAACATTAAAAAAAAAAAACTGCATGTAAAATTTGTATGTAATTACTTTATGGTCATTCAAGGTGTGTCCCTTTATATGAGACCAGTCTGATTATTACAAATGTAAAAGACAGCAAAATATATATATGTATTTCATATATATATGATGTCTTATTCATAGCCGTCTGATCTGGTAGATCAAACACTGAATGATATGCCAGAGACATCTCGAAAGAAGGGATGGTGGGTAATATGTTACTTGTCCCCATTTCATGTATTTCAGCCCACCTCCATCTTTATTTGTCATCTTCTTTTCTTCCCTTTTCCTTTCCTCTCCCTGAGTGTAGACAGCTGCATTGAGCGTCTCCACAGACTGTGGTCTCTGGCAGAAGGCAGACAATTGAGTTTTGGAAGTGGCATGGAACGAGACAAAGGGAGCGTGGGGTGGCTTCCTCCCTCCGTCTTCCTCCCCATCAGGGCTCCATGGGCAGACTGCCCACTCTTTCATAACAGCATTAGCAGAGACCATGCAGCAAAACAGTGGAAAATCCACTACACCATGTATCCTCATCAGCGATGTCTTCTCTTTGACCTCCACCTCAGTTGTAGTGACTCACATGAATATGGAAGATGAATATGGGCCAACTTCTGAGGTTACGCCAAATTCAACAAGAGACAGGCTTGTCAACCATGAAATCGTCTTTACAGAGGTACTATGGACAAATTTGGATTGGTTGGAGGCACTTTCATCCCTGGGAAATTTCTTGACCTTTATTTTATGTTCTAGGCCATAAAGATCAGGTGAAACGCTATCATAACAACCAGTATAAAGGAAAATGGTGGTCTATTATCCCCCATAATTCCTCTCTGGACATCTATCATGATTCACCCTCCATTCAGGCTACCAAGCAGTCATCACAGGACGCCCCCATAGCCGCGCAATCTGTAGCTTTTCCTCTTTGCCCTTTCTTGGTAATACCCCCTGTGACACACTTGGCTCAGCACCTTAACACAAACATTAACACACGCACACAAACACACACTGCTGTTTGACCTCTAAGGTTCAGTGAGAACATTAAATACCAATTAGGGTTGAGATAGGCCAAGCTGAGTGTGAGGTTGTAGGAAGGCCTTGAGGAGGCCTGTGGGAACCAACTTATTGGTCCCTGGGTAGAAACATGTGTGTGTGTGTGTGTGTGTGTGTGTGTGTGTGTGTGTGTGTGTGTGTGTGT